GGGCCGCGCGCGAGCGCCTTCTGTCAGCTGGGTGGCCACGTGCTCCAGTCCCACTGTCAAGCTGTGCCACAATCGATTCTGATGCTCTGGGAGGAAGGGTGGGATGAGGCGGGGCCCTCTGACTCGCTCGACTCAGCTACCTTCACCCTCTCTCCCTCCTCCATTCCCGGTCCTTCCCTCCCCCATGTGTCCCTCGTTCGGCGGCCAGCGCGGGGGGGATGTGAGAAGGGGCGGGCCTTCTCAGAGGCTCGGGAGTCCCCCGGCCTTCCGAGCAGTTCTCCAAGCCTGCTCCGCAGACGCAGGAGACTCCTCGGAAGGCGCGAGGGCTTCTGAGGAGCCCCGCCGCCCTCTGAGACGGCCTCCTCCCTCTCGTTTCTCCCCCCCCCTCGCTCGCCGCCGAGCATGTTCGGCGCCCTCCTGCCCTCCCTCCCTCCCTCCCTCCGCGCCCGCTGCGGGGCCGCCGTCGCCGCTGCTCGTGGCTCGCGAGGGACACCAGAAGGGCGCGGCGGCGGGCACGCGCGGCAACCGGCCCCGCGGCCGGCTGGCCACCTCGAGGGCCCCGGGGGGGGCCCCAGGGAGACGAGGGCGACCAGGCCCGTCCAGAGGTCCCCCCCTCCTCTCAGGAGGGACCGGGACACACGGACACAGCTGATCGTCGATGCCCCGGGGAGTCTGGGAGCATACGTTTTTGACATTCAGAGATAGTCAAAAAATAGTCTTGGGACGATGTTTGGACTATTCGTGACCATTTGGGGTTATTTTTAGATTCTCTTTTTTTTCGTCCAAGCTCCGCCTGTAGGGGGACATGCCCGACCTAAACGTACGTCTGGGCCTCCCAGATGGGGTCGGAGTAGATGGAGTCGGAGGATAGGGCCACATTGCCGATGCATCGGCGATGCGGCTCGATGTGGAGTCCGTGTTTCTCCACGCTGACGTCGCTGACGCATCGCCGACGTCGCCGATGCATCATCGATGCATCGCCGACGTATCGGTGATGCATCGGCGTTGCGGCGCGATCCTTCGACCCCATCTACTCGGACCTCATCACAAGATATCGCCGATTCCCCAGAGAAAGTATGATAACATACGGGAAGTGGGGAGGAGAGGACGAGCATCCAGAGCACATTTAAGAAAAAACATGGTCTTGGGATTTGTGTCTATTTGTTTGTGTCCCTGTGCCCTTTCGTCGTCCTCCTCCTCCCTTCCCCGGTCCATCTCGATCCGGTCGATCCGGTTCGGTATCGACTGCGCCAGGGGCGGTCCGATTCCATTCCGATATCCCGATGATCCGATGCGGCCCGATACTCGCATGGCGCTGAGCGGCCGATCCTGTCTGTTCCGACTCCGTGCCGGTACGGCCGGCTGCCCTCCTCTCCCGCCCCCTTCTCTTCTGGGAGGGCGGGAGGAGGAAGGCCAGAAGGTCTGTTTTTGCGTCCCGGCCCTCCTGTGTTGGTTGGTCCTCGTGTTCTCTTTCAGCAGCTCCGCGCGTCTCCTTCCTCCATCCTTCTCCTCGTCCCCGTTCCCCCCGCATACAGTCAAGACGCTGAAATAAGGAACAGTTTGGGTTCGGAAGGGGCTCGATGTTCCTTAGGTTCCTCCAGTGCTGTTCCTCTTGCCCTCCTGGGGCACAGAGGCGCTTACAGGGCCGAGAAGGGGATTCGTTCCTTGTTTAGCGTTCCTTCTTTCAGCAGCCCGACTGTACCTCCAGAGGCCCCCGGAGGCTGCGTCGGGAAGCAGTCTGCATTGCAGGCGGCGGACGTTTTCACTCGTGTCTTCTGTGCCGCTGGGGCATGTGGTGCATGCCTCTCGGCTCCAGCGTCGCCCACATGGGGGCCGGGAAGATGCTCGTGCTTCGCAGCTCGCGGTCTGGGCCGGCGAGTCTGGCCCCTCCAGGGGCCACGGGAGCGCCGAGGTCCGCGCGCGCCGCGCGCGCGCGCGAAGCGCGAAGAATCGCGCGGCGCAGTTAATGCCCCTGGTCCCCGAGGCCTTTGGGGAGGCCAGCCGGGCACGGAGCTGTAGCCGGGGGCCCTCTCTCGACCACCCGGCGCGGCGCGATGGGCAAGTTCGCGACGGACCCGTCCGCCCCTCGGCGGGACTGGAGCGCCGTGCGGCGCAAGGGAGCAGTCGACCACACGTAAGAGTGACCTTTCTCAGAAACTGGAGCCTGTACATTACCATTGGCGGGCCGTCTTCCAATCCCAGGACTTCTTGAGGGTCGGGGACGACGTCGGGGTGGTGTAGTGTATACTTCTGTATGTACCAGCCTCCGCTTTCTTTCGCAAAGGTCCGTGCACGGCCGCACAAAAACGTCGGTGTATAGAGCGCAGTTCCCTACTTTCGCCGGAGTGACCTTTGGTGCGGGTCCAAAGGGGTCCCCCTCCGATCGCCGAACGCGACGCGGCAGTAGCGTCTTGCGCGCCCAGGTTTGGCCACCCCGCGTCCCCCGTTCAGCCGCGCACCAAAGGTCACTCTTGCCTAGGGCCACTCTTGCGGGTAGCCGATGAGACTGGAGCACCGTGCGGCGCAAGGGAGCAGGTCTCGATGCGTTTTTGCGGCCTCGGTCAGCAGGAGGACGACGGCGGGGGCGAGGAGGAGAGCATACTGGGGGAGGGGCCAACAAGCGAGGAAGCGGGGGGCATCGGGAGCGAGCGGGAGCGAAGGGGGGGAATGGAGGTGTCCATCCGAGCCCTCCCAAATGGGGCCGCAGTCCGATGTTCCCCGTCCCTGCGTCGTCCGTGCATCGGCAGGGCGGTGCGATCCTCCGACTGACCCCATCATCAGAGGAGGAAAAGGTACTCCGGATTCCATAACAAAGTGGGGGGGGGTCACATTCGGGGGGGGGGGTCTAATTTGAGCTGTCTTGGAGGGTTCGGGGGGGTCTGGGCAAAGGGCCGCCCTTTCATGGATAGTCTGGGGGGTCTAAACCTTCTTGTCTGGGAGGGTTGCGACCCCCTCCCTTTTTATTACGAAATCTGGAGCAACCCTTCCCTCGCTTTTCCCCTTCTCGGGCCTCCTGGGAGACCCTCGTCGCCACGGCCGGCTCCGCCTCGAAGTTCTGGTACCAGGGCGCACGCCGGGAGAGGCCCGCGGAGCAGCGGTGCCGGTATCTTGCAGATCTTCCCGCAGCAGTCAGTCACGAGCAGAGGAGGAGGAGGAGGAGGAGGAGGAGGAGGAGGAGGAGGAGGAGGAGGAGGAGGAGGGGGCGGAGGGGGAGGAGGAGGAGGGGGGGGATGAGGAGGGGCTTCTCAGAAGCACCCCTACCTCTTAGAAGGCGCGGGACGTGTCTGTAGACGCAGGGCTGGCGCCTTCTGAGAAGCAGCGTCTTCCTCAGAAGCCTTCCCCCCGCCTCAGACCCTGCCGTGTGCGGGCAAGACTTGTGTCCATCTCCACAGCAGCTTTGAGTTTTGGGCTCCCCTCCCCAGAAACCCGAGGCGCACTGGGTACAGATAAAAGCTAGCTCCTAGAGGCTCGATCTTTATCCTCATCCAGTGCGCCTCGGCCTTGCGGCGTTCCTTCCAAGAAAGTCCAAGACGCACTGGAGACAGTGGAGACCCATGCCAAGAAACACCCTGCTCACCTCCTGGGTGCCCTGGGTTTCTTGGGTTTCGATGGTTTTGCTATGGAAAGCTTGACGTTCCCACACCAAATATTAGTGGACGTCCTGGGGTATCAGGCTTTTGTTTCTTGTGGAAGCTTTCTTGTGGTCGAGCTCCTGCTGTATCCTGCATCCCTTCGCCCCCCTCGTCTGTCGCGGCCGTCCCTCTGCGATTCTCTCGAGGCCTCCCAGGGGGCCTCTTGGAGCCCCTGCGGGCCATCCTCGGCCGTGCTGGGGGGCATCTTAGGGGCCTCTGGGGGTCTCCTGGGGCCACACTGGTACAGTCAACCCGCATGGTAAGGATGGGCAACCTTCCCAAGGGTACCCTTGCGTCCTTGCCTCCTCGGTCCATCCCTGGCCTCTCTCGTTGTCCGCGCCACGCTCGGAAAGCTCCGAAATGGGCGTCCAAGGCCCTTGCATCCTTATCGCGCGTCCTTATGGTACGGGCCGACTGTATCTTGTTTGGCCATCCTGCGATGTCGGCGGCATCTTGGGGCCCCTGGGGGGCCACCTCGGTTCCGTCTGGGCAATCTCGAGGGCTCTGGGGGCAGTCTTGGAGAGATCTCAGAACACCTGGAGGGGCAAAATATGGCTCAGGCACCAATCTGTCAGCCGTGTGTTTGATGTGTGTTGGGTTTCTGACGGGTGCATTTGTGGTCCCCTTGGGCCTGCTTGCAGACATCGTGGGCCATCCTTGGCCACTTTGCTCTCATATGTGGAGGCCCTCTTCGAGGTTTGTTGGAGTCGTTCTGGGGGCCTCTTGGGCCCTCCTTGCCGTCTGGTGGCGACCACCTGTGAATTCCGTGACAGCCCAGAGCAGCCAGAGTGCCGACACCACCCTCGCCCTAGGCACGTTATTGTTCCACCGCGAGCTCCTCTAGACAACCGAACCGAGACATGATTGCAGAGTCACGAGACAGTACACAAATGGCAGGACCAGAAGATCAGAAACGACGAGGGACACCAGCGAGGCAGCAGTCCCCCAGGGAGTCCCGCAGCTCTGTAACCCCAAGGAGGCTGGCGGATTCCAGAGTGACTGGGAGAGGGAGGAGGAGGAGGGGGAAGGTGAGGAGGAGGTGAAGGAGGAGGAGGAGGAGGAGGAGGGGGGCGATGAGGAGCGTGAGGACAACCGCGCTTCGCGGTAAGGGCCAGAGGAGCAGCCGTCCACCAGGGGGGGGGGGCTCGAGGGCGCGAGGGCCGTCGGGCGGCCCGCGCGCCCTGGCGGCCCTCTTCGGCGCAGGGCACGCCCTGAGCCGCCGGGCCGAAGCCGCTCGCCGAGGTCGCTGGCGATGAAGATGCACCAGTACCAGATTGTCGGGCGCGCGGCGCCCACGCCGAAGAACCCGACGCCCAAGATCTACCGCATGAGGATGTTCGCCAAGAACAAGGTCTTGGCCAAGTCCAGGCTCCGCCGCGCGCCGCCAGGGGCTCCTTTAGGGGGCCAGATGCGAACCCTACCCCGACCCCCCACGACTTTGAGGGGGAGGGTGGGGTTCACGAGCAAAGTGAACCCCACCCTCCCCCTCAGAAGTCGCGGGGGGTCGGGGTAGGGTTCGCATCTGGCCCCCTATCCTTGCCGCGGCGCGGCTCGGCCCCACTGGGATCTGGCTGCTGCCGCCTCCGCTCCCTGGGACCAGGCCCTCCGAGGCATGTACGAAGCACGACGGACGAGCCTTCTCTACGTTCGGCCTCTGGCGTCCCTCGCCGGGCCTCGGGACCGTCAAGAGGCGGCTCAGGATGGAACACCGGTCCCGTGGGAGGAGGAGGAGGAGGAGGAGGAGGAGGAGGAGGAGGAGGAGGAGGAGGAGGAGGAGCAGGAGGAGGAGGAGGAGCAGGAGGAGGAGGAGGAGGGTCGAGACTGCCGGGGGCGTGATGACGCAGTCTTGGCGTCGGGGCTCCGGGGACGCCGCCGAGCGTGTGCGGAGAGTTCGTGCAGTGTTGGCGCGGCGGCGACCTCAGCGCGGGCGTGGGAGGGTGGGCGCCGCCAGTGGCCCGGGGGTCGGCCGCCACGGAGTCCATCGGGAGCCTCGGGACGGGGGTCGATGCAGGCGGGGGTCGGCCAGAGCGCCCGATCTTGCAGGATCCTGCAGGGCCAGGGTCGCATTGACCCGGGTGTCGGGCGCAGGATCCTGCAGGATCCCTCGCGTGGGCCCGGGTCTGGGCGCAGCATCCTGCAGGAGCCTGCAGGATTCTGCAGGCCTGTCCGACCCGGGTCTGGATGGACCCGGTCGAGAGATCCCCGAGTCCATTTTGGTCCTGTCGATCCGATTCGATGTCGAGTCTGACCGTTGATTCCTACGTATCGACGATCCGATGCGGCCCGATGCTGACGTGGCACTGTTGTGCATCCTCACGCGGCCGATCCGATTCGATCTCGATTCAATGTGCCCATTTAGCCCGATCCGATGCAGATCACGATTCGGCCCAACTTACCGATTCGACGCTTATGGATCTTGCCAGCATCTGCTTGAGCGATCCATTCGGTGCCAGACGAGGTCGACGGCACGGCCATGCCGTCCCAGACCAGGTCGACAACACGTTGCCGCGCGCGCCAGCACGCGTGGAGGCGTGCATCGGACTGTCCTCGTCGTGGTCGTTGTCTTCGTCGTCGTCATCGTCGTCGTCGTCGTCGTCGTCGTCGTCGTCGTCGTCGTCCGTCGTCCGTCGTCCGTCGTCCGTCGTCCGTCGTCCGTCGTCCGTCGTCCGTCGTCCGTCGTCCGTCGTCGTCGTCGTCCGTCGTCGTCGTCGTCGTCGTCGTCGTCGTCGTCGTCGTCGTCGTCGTCGTCGTCGTCGTCATCGCGTGGATGTCACATGGTCGGCGTCGTCCAAGCTTCTGCCCAGAGCCCTCGTCGCGCAGGCGGGAGCCCGGTGGGTTGGGGAGTCCAGCTGGTCTGGGGCAGCCGATCCCGCAGGATCACCCCCCTTGTCTGAGTGAGGCTTCTGGCGCTCCGGCGCCCCCGCCGGGCTCTCATAGGGGCCGTCCCTCCAGGACGTTTCCCGGCGCTCTCTCTCTCTCTCTGAGGCCTCGTCTCTGTGATTTCCCTGCACGGGGAGCCCCACCGCCACGACGCCCGAGTGAGAGCCACGCCGGGCTCAGGAGAGTGGCTCCGGTCTTCGGGCCGCTCCTTAGATCATGCAGTGGAGCACGCTTGTGGCGTAGGCTCGCCGTGGCCCGAGAGGCCCTGTCGTTCCTTATTTTGTTTCGTATTGTTATTGTTATTGCTATTGTTATCTGATTCTTATCATTCTCATTAGTCGTATTCTTGTTCTTATTGATAGGAATCATATCATCATTATTATCATTATTTGTATTCCTATCAGTATTATGATCATTATTCTCATTCGTATTATTGTTATTATTATCATTCCTGCCTTCTGGTAGCACGATGGCTGCAATCCATCCCACTCCGGAGCTCCCTGCAGGGGGCAGGAACACGTCACTGGGGCCAGGGGGGAGCGGGGAGGCGTGGGCTTTTGAGGGAGGCGTGAGACGATGTTCGCTCCTTCCTTGAGGAGCCGCCTTGGCACTGGCCAGGGATGCCCTTCTTGGCACTGGCCAGGGATGCCCTTTTGACGCAGACCCCCTTCGAGTCGTGAAGAAGTGGTGGCGGACGGGAGGTCTTTCGCCGTTTTCAGCCTCTGGGGGCCTTGACCGGGCCTCGGAGCCGTCAAAGAGAGGCCCAGGATGACAAAAGACCGGTCTGAAGGAGTGGGTGGAGACCTCTGGGGGTCGATGTTGCGACAACAATCATGGCGGGGGGGGGGTCTGGGGAGACCCCCACGGTCCTGTAGGCAGCCAGGTATACGCCCCCTGCAATCTGTTCGCGCCCCCCCGGGTTCGCATGCTAGTGCAGCTGCGGTCCTGGATAGTCGATTGTCGCCTGGGCGGTTAGACCTGTTGGGCAGAGCAGGCCGTGAGACCCCAGCCAGATCGCACGCCCCAAATTGCCGCTCGTCGGGGGCCTGTGAGTTTTTCGTCCAGGTTCCAGCGGTTCGCTCGAGGCTGCAGGGGACCACGCAACAGGAGCAGCCTCGGATTCAGCCGTTGGGTATCACGCCGATCCTGGCAAAGCCCCTCCGGGGCTCAGGACCCGTGGAGCTGCCTCCCCGGCCAGGCCAGGAGGGCGTGCGCACCTGCCTCTGGCACGGGCCGGGGCCCTGGTCAGGACCGGCATGGTGTACCCCCCCATGCAGTAATTAGGTTAGGTTCGAGTCGTGTTGACGCGGCGGCGACCCCGCCGCGGGCCTTCAAGGTTGAACGCCGCCAGTGGCCCAGACTCGGCCAGTATGGAACGATCGGGCAGTCGAAAAGCCGCCGATCGTTCAAGGTTGAACGATCCACACGGTGTCAGAAGCCGGCGCCCGGGTCGTCACGACACGAAGCTGCCGTGTGCCCACACGTGCCTGCCTTGGCCCGAGCACCGCCCCGTCGCGACCGCCCCCGGCCCCCCCCGCCCGCCCCGAGCCGGACCAGATGGCCAAGCGCTGCGCCAGCAACGCCCCGGCCCTCGCGCTGCTCGCCTGCCTCGCGCTGGCGCTGGCGCCGGCCGCCGTGGACTTCGTGGCGCCGTCCTCCCGCGCCGCCCCCGCGGCCGAGGGCCAGGCGCTCGCGCGCGGCCACGTCCTGCCGGAGCGCTCGGCCGACGTCTCCATGGCCTCGGGCGGCCAGCCGCCGGCCCCCGGCAAGATCAACCTGCTGTTCCTCGGGCTGCTGGCGGGCACCGCCGTGATCGGGCTGCTGGCGCTCTTCGGCTACGGCGCCTACTCGGGCGCCGGCAGCTCGCTGTGAGGGCCCCCGGCTCATCCTCGACGGCTCTCGGGGGCCCCCAGAGGGTGTGGCGACCCCACCGCGTGGTGAGTCGGTGGGGACTCGAGGTCATAACTCTCGGCGGCGGGCGGGGGGGGACATGAGAAGCAGACGGCCTTCTCAGAAAGCGGCGGGGCTTCTCAGAAGCCCTCGCGCCTTCTGACAGATTTCAAGTGTGTCTTCGGGGAAGGCTCAGAGAACTTCTCAGAAGGCTGGGGAACTTCCGAGCCTTCTGAGAAGGCCCGCCCCCTTCTCACTTCACATCAAGGCTCGCCGCCCGAGCCTTGGCCTGGAGTGCCCGGACCTCCTCGAGTCATGAAGAGTCGCGACGGAAGTTTTGTCGCTATTTTCGGCCTCTGGGGGCCCTTCCCGGGCCTCGGGACCGTCAACAAAACGACTCAGGATGAAAAACGGGTCCCGGGGAATGGGTCGAGGCTTCCGTCGACCTTACGGACACATCATGTCGGCATCGGCGATGCATCGGCGATGCGGCTCGGAGCCCGATGTTCTCCACGCCGACGTCGCTGGTGCATCGCAAATGCATCGCCGATGCCTCGGCGATGCAGCGTGATCCTCCCGACCCCGTCTGTTCGGACCCCATCTAGGAGGCCTCGAATTATCCCAGTGCGACCCTACCTAGGAGTTGGAGCATCTAGGAAAGCAACATGCTATGCTATGCTATTATATGATATGAAATGATATACTATGCTATGTTCTGCTATGCTATGTTGCGCTATGCTATGCTATGCTATGCTACACTATGATATGCTATGCCGCGCTATGCTATGTTATGCTATGATATGATATGCTGTGCTATGCTATGTTATGTTATGCTATGCTGCGCAGTGCTATGCTAAGCTAAGCTATGCCATGATATGTTATGCTATGCTATGCTATGCTGCGCTATGCTATGTTATGCTATGCTATGTAATTATATGCTATGCCGCGCTATGCTATGCTGCGCTATGCTATGCTATGATATGCTATGCTATGCCATTCTATGATATGCTACTCTATACTATGCTATGCTAATGCGCTGCGCTAAGCTCAGCTGAGCTAAGCTAAGCTAATCTAAGCTAGGCTAGGCTAGGCTAAGCTAAGCTAAGCTAAGCTAAACTAAACTAGGCTAGGCTAGGCTAAGCTAAGCTAAGCTAGGCTAAGCTAAGATGAGATAAGTGACGCTAAGCTAAGGGGACGTAACTGGGGGAACCGCGGGGCGGATGCCGGGGAAACCTCCCGGGCCGGTTCCCACTGCCCGGCCCTTTTAAGCCCATAGAGTAAGAACCCTTCTAGGCAGAGCCTAGGTAGGGAATGAAACAGTGGTGGGGTGGGGCGGCAGGAGGAGGAGGAGGACGAGGAGGAGGATGGCGGCGCGAGTGGCTTTCGTCTGCCTCGCGAAGGCTCCTCTAGGAGCGCCCCGTCTCTGCACTGCTGGGGCCGGCAGTTTCAGCGCGCGCGTGCCGCGCCCGCGCATTTTTAATCTGGCCACCGCCATGGCCGCGCGTTGATCGTAGGCTGTGCTCTTCCTCCACTGGCAAGGACGACTGAGTTCTATGTGGTCATGGTGGCGGCGCCTGGCGGCGAAAACATCACGCAAG